GAATGGTTGAAGGCACCAGCTCTAGTGTAATTGCACCTGCGCAAGATTGACCGCAGGTGCGAGCCCGCAGAAGAGGGCATTGGGGCGCAGAAGCGTGCTGGAGAAGTGTGGGTAGAAGTCGCAGGTGCGCTAGAACCGCATAAGCAGACTACTTCTCATAGAAGCGAGTTCACAAGAGCGGATAGGAGATCGCAGAAGCGGAGGCAAGGCAGCCTGGGAAAAACCGCAGAAGCGGTGCATTTTTCGTAAAAGCGGGACCGCAAATGCGGTCAAGTGATCCGGAGAAGCGAAAACACTTGGCAGACTATTAATTCAAGGGTTCAGGATTTTTATCATTGTTGGACATTTTGAGCTCGGGTTTGGCAATTGTCGAGAGCATTTTCTAGAGATTTCTTGAGGTAAGTCTCTTGTACTTATTTTTTATCAATAATATTGTTTCGCCGTTGATTTTTCCACCTAGATTGTGTATGTTTAAGGTATAATTTGGGAGTTTGAGGCTAGGGATTTGGAGAGTTTAATTTGGGAATTTTAGTGGTGACTTGGTGTCGGATTTTGGTAATTTTGGTATGGGTGTACTCAATATCGAATTGGTGTTCATATTTTGTGACTTTACTCGATTCCAAGACGTGGGCCCGGGTCGACTTTTTGGGGCAATTTTTCGATTCATTGCTAAAGTCATAAATGTATTAATTAAATTAGTTTCTTGCAGTTGTATTCATGGTATGTAATTTCCTTTTGCTAGATTGTGGTTATTCGGAGTCGGAAAATCGAGGGAAAGGCATCTTTATCGATTGGTTGAGCGAGATTTGAGGTAAGTAATTTGTCTAACCTTGTGTGCGGGAATTCCCCTTAGTATTTGGTATTGTTGTGATAATTTGTGATATGTGAGCGTCGTGTACGCGAGGTGACGACATCGTACACGGGCTAATTGTGGAAATTTCGATTCTTGCTGAGTTGTCTTCTTTTAAATTCCTTAACTGAGTTGCCTTAGCATATGTAGTGATCATGATTAGCCTAGTAGCGCATCTCTACGTGCCTTAACTCTTACTTTCAATTTGTGCAATATGCTTAGTTGAATTACTTGCTTCCCTTGATTTGAATTAAATCTTTAGCTGTGAGATTTCATGCTATAAATTCGTTGTTCCTTTGGTTCGGTTATCTGTTGCATATTTACTTTGGGACTACGAGGCGGTTCCTCGGGAGATTCCCCCTATACTGCATATTTACTTTGGGACTACGAAGCGTTTACTCGGGAGATCCCCCTGCCTTGCATATTTACTTTGGGACTACGATGCGATACCTTGGAAGATCCCCCCTGTCCTGCATATTTATATTTGGGACTACGAGGCGGTACCTCGGGAGTGCCCCTGTTGTTTACCTCTAATTGTTGAGCTGTTATTTTCTGAAGTTTCTCGTCGTTTAAATTTTCAGTCGTTTCAAAAATTATTATATCTTCTGCGTTATTTTTCTTTTAAAACCAGTAGGGCCCTGACCTGACCTCTTCACTACTCTACCGAGGTTAGACTTGACACTTAATGAGTACCGTTGTGGTGTACTCATACTACAATCTGCACATCATTTTGTGTAAATCCAGGTTCTTCCTACCAGGCCAGATACTAGTGAGCTAGGCTGTACGTGGAGACTTCAAGGTATATCTGCCAGCGTCCGCAGACCTTGGAGTTCCCCTCTATCCTTATTATTGTGTTTCCCTTATTCTATTTATACTTGATGCATAGATACACTTAGTATTTTCTCTTAGAAGCTTGTGATGGTGCAGCAGAGATTGGAGTTCAGTTTATTATTCATTTATTCCACAAATTGTTAGGCTTACCTAGTCTTAGAAACTAGGTGTCATCACAACATCCTACGGAGGAAAATTTGGGTCGTGACATTGCCTGAGTTTGCTAGTAAACCAAGAAACATTAGATTGGGATTATGTGCAGATGGATTCACTCCATTTGCTATCTCTGCTGCACCATAGTCATGTTGTCCAGTGTTTGTTACCCCGTATAATCTTCCGCTCGAGCTGTGTATGACAAGTCCATATATGTTCCTAACTTGTATTGTTCCAGGTCCACGCAATCCGAAAAGTTTGATTGATATATACTTGCAGCCTTTGATTAATGAGTATAATTATTTTGGTATCAAAGTGTGGAAACATATGATATATCAACTAAACAAAACTTCTGATTGCATGCTGCTTTGATATGGACTATAAATGATTTTGCTGTTTATGGAATGTTGTCTGGGTGGTCGACTGCTGGAAAGTTAGCTTGCCCTTGTTGTATGGAAGACACAAAAATATTTACTTTGAAACATGGAGGTAAAAATACATGGTTCGACTGCCTCCGTAGATTCTTGCCAATGAATCATGAATTTAGGCAAAATACAAGTGCATTTATGAAGAACCGAACTAATTTTGAGGAGCCACCGGGCCTACTTGTGTTCAGAAGAAATTTGGAATAGAGTAAGGGATATGCCTAAAGTAACACAGTCTCCACCATCTAAGATACTAGGTTATGGTGTCACACATAATTGGACTAAACAGAGCATATTTTGGCAGTTACCTTATTGGAAGCATAATCTTCTTCGGCATAATATGGACGTCATGCATATCGAGAAGAATTTTTTTGAAAACTTGTTTAACACAGTTATGGATGTTGCTAACAAGACCAAAGATAACCTGAAGGCCAAGATGGACTTAAAGGAATATTGTAGGAAAAGTGAGTTGTATCTGACATACTTTAACAACAAGATTCAGAATCCCAAAGCCAGTTACACGTTCACCTTGGATAAGAGAAGAGAGATTTGTAGTTGGGTTAACAATTTAAGGATGCCTTATGGGTACGCATCAAATTTATCCAGGTGTGTTGACATGAAATAAGGGAAGTTAGCGTCAATGAAAAGCCACGATTGTCATATTTTCATGGAAGCGTTGATGCCTATTGCATTCAATGGAATGCCTGATAGTATATGGAAACCGATTACAGAGATAAGTTGATTTTTTAAGTATTTGTGTTCTAGCACATTGAGGGTGGAGAACCTAATTTATATATAGAATAACATTATCTTAACTTTAAACAAGCTGGCAAAAAGTTTCCCTCTTGGTTTTTTTGATGTAATGGAACATCTTCCAATCCACCTTGCATAAGAGGCACGACTTGGAGGGCCAGTTCAATGTAGATGGACGTATCCCTTCAAGAGGTAATTCCATTTAATCATTTACCTTTTGTATTTTCTTTAAAGATTGCTTCGTCTAAAAATCACACTATGCAGGACTATTGGCAAATGTAAGTGGACTATAAAAAATAGATCAGGAATTGAGGGTTCGATATGTGAGGCATATGTGGCTAAAGAAATATCTTATTTCTGGCCATATTATTTTGAACATGATGTGCCATGTTTGAAAAATAGACCAAACCGGCATGACGATGGAGGCAAAATCGGTCCTTTGGCACCACTCTTTTCCATTTTTAATCAATCACGTAAAGGAGGTCCAAAAAATAGTCCAAAGTTAAGGTTGACTGAGATGGAGCTAAAGTCAACTACAACACATGTATTGTTGATTGCCCTGAGGTCCAACCTTATTAGAGGTAAGTATATATTTGTATATATTACGGACTTTTATATAAGATCTACCACTGATTTAACCAATAAAAGTTATAATGGCAGTTACTTTGTTGGTACATATGGGCAAAATATTGTTTATCCCAAGTTTTCAAAGTGGTTTAAAGAATTTGTAAGTATTACTTATTAATTAACATGATTTTTATTATATGTAAATTAATTATATGTATATTTTAAATTCTAAATTATATTTAATTCTATATATAGGCTCATGATCCAGCTAATGGCATTAATGACCCAGTTTTACGTGATATAGCTTGGGGACATGACCCTAGAGTCAGAATGATGTCTAAATACTTGGTCAATGGGTACAAGTTTCATACAGAATAGTGGCCTAAGGGAAAGAAAACTAACAATAGTGGGGTATGGGTGAAAGGTGATGGAGATGTTGATTTAACAAGTTTCATACAGAATAGTGGCCTAAGGGAAAGAAAACTAACAATAGTGGGGTATGGGTGAAAGGTGATGGAGATGTTGATTTAACAAGTTTCATACAGAATAGTGGCCTAAGGGAAAGAAAACTAACAATAGTGGGGTATGGGTGAAAGGTGATGGAGATGTTGATTATTATGATGCACTTTAAGAGATTTTAGAACTGGAGTATACTGTAGGTTGGCCGAAGAAAACGTTGGTACTCTTTCGATGTAAGTGGTATGATCCAACAACGAATAGAGGTACAAATGTGCACATTCAGCACAAAATAGTTGAAATTAAATACATGGGGCAATATAGACTTTATGATCCCTTTATCATTGCACAAAAAGTGAAACAAGTGTATTATGCTCCTTATCCTTTGAGCAAGAATAAGTCTACATGGCGGGTAGATTTGAAAACAAAGCCCGTGGGTAGAGTGGAAGTCGAAGATGCATTAGATGTGGCGTACCAGAATGACATTTCAAGTGTTGAATCAATAGTGGATATTGAATTAGTAGATGAATTGCAACATAATGAAGGGATATATGAAGAACTTGATCCTTCTGTCCTTGGACTAAATGAGGACGAAGATAGAGGTGTTGAACATGAAACAAGTGATGGGGAAGAATTACTAGATAAAAGTGAAGCATTCGATGATGAAGACTTAAATGATTACTATGAAGATAGCGATGAGGATTGACTTGTTATTCTTTTTTATGTTGTTCATCCTTCAATCATTTAATATATTTGAAGAATTGTTGTATGTTTTTATGACATATTGGGGTTTTTATGTTATTCCTTTAATTATCTATTATGTTGGAAAATTATTTTATATTTTTAGGACTTATTAGGTTGTTTATTTATTTCTTTAGTCGTTTAATTTGTAGAATAATTATTTTATATTTACTATCACTTGTTGTATTTTTTATTTTTTATTTTATTATGATTATATTACAGATATGGCATCTAAGGGGAACGAAAATAGGAAACCTAAGAAGAAAAAACAATCTGTTGTAACTACCTCAAGTATGCCAAATATGAGTCCTCCTCTTCCTCGCCATCCTCTTCCTCATCCTCCTCAGTTGATTTCATTTCCATCTACCATATTCACTATTCGCCCTCCATCTAATAATTTAGTTCAGTATTATTCTATGCCTGCCAAAGGAAGTCAAAGTAACATTATTTTTAACTTTATACCCATACCTTCTATACCATCTTCTTCACCGAGCTTTCATGGTAGTCAGCATGGTGTCTCACTAGTTGATGCACCCCCAAGCTTTCATGGTAGGCAGCATAGTGGCTCACCAGCTGCTGCACCCTCGAGCTTTTATGGTAGTCACCATGGTGGCTCACCAGCTGCTGCATCCCGGAGCTTTCATGGTAGTCAGCATGATGGTTCGTCTTTTGTTGCTCCATCATCTTCTACTCCATCATCATCATCCACTCCCAGCATATCTAGGTTGGATATTGGAGGCTCTCGCCCAGTTATATCTAGTGCTACTTCTACACCATCTAGTAGACACAGGCAGAATCTTGGAGGGGATGTACAATATGATAGTTATAATCGATTGATAATCGTCCCCTACGAGGATGGGTAAGTAATTCTTATACTATTTTTAAAGTTTTGAATGTACTTTTAGATATGTTAACATTAAGGAATATTTATGTATAATTAAAACTTTTGAAACTTTAAGATGTTTATTAATTATATATGTTAACTTTAATGTATGTTTTTGCCATCCTTTTAGTCTACACATTTGGTTGTGGATTCTATGAAGCCATTTTATCATGAAGGAAAAGGAAAGAGGGCGATATATGAGTCACGCTGAGGTCTTCGAGGAGACGCATAAGAAAAATAAGAAGGACGGTACAAGAGAACAGTAGGTGGAGATGCGTGCGTCGGACACATATGTAAAATACTAACTTCATAATTATTTATGGTTTATTAATATTAGTTTGTTTAAATAATAGTTATGTTTTCATTTCAGGAAGATTATCATAAAAGGGTGGAAGAATGGCAGCAAACTCAGCCTCATTCAACTCAACCAACACCTGATGATATGGCTTCATTGTAGACAGAGGAAGCGGGTGGAGTAAACAAAAGCAGAGTCTACGGACTTGGAGTACGCCGACCTACAGGTCATGAAAACCAACTCTTAGCCAATTCCTCTTCTTCGCCAAATCAAGAATAGATGGAAGATATGAGAAAAGAAATTCGTGATTTTAAGCAACAATTGGACTCACAATTCCGAATATTTGTTAAGATGCAGAAATTCATGAAAAAATATGGGCATGATCTATTTGGTTGATTGGTAAACTTGATTGTGAGAGACAAGTTTATGTTTTGTTTTTAAACTTGAATGTGGCTACTATTTTGATGTTTTTATGCCCAAAATAGTTAGGTTTAATGGATTTATTTGTTTAGATTGTGTTAATGGTCGGAAATGATAAAAATAATTAATTATTTTTTAATAGCTTTCGACGGATTCCGTCAGAATTTAAAGAAATTTTATTTTTTAATTATTAATTTTTGACTGATTCGGTCGGTAGATATTTAATTTTTATTATTTAATTTTAAATAAATTTTTATTTTTATTTAAATTATTACGATTGATTTGATCGGTAAAATTCCGACCACTTTGGTCGGAAATTTGAAAATAATTTGGTCGTATGACCTTTTGAGCGTTCCAACTACTTTGATCGAAATCACCGACGGATTCGATAAGAAATTGTTTTTCGACCAACTGTTTTTTGACCGACCTATTTTGGTCGGAAAGTAGTCGGAAATCCATGGTTTCTAACCGTTTTGGCGGTCAGAATTCAGCCATTTTCTAGTAGTGAGGGGAGGCAACATGATGGCCTTGAGATCGATTACTCTTTTCATGATGAGCAACTTTTGTCACTTTCAATGAAAGTGGTACCATGTTTTGCGGTTTTGCAAATTTCCTTGTAAGCGGTATCATTCTGGATGAGTTCTCTTCAAACCAAATGAAGAAGATCAAGAAGAATTGCATGGACTACTATTTGGATGAATTATATCTTTTCCGGATTTGCACGGATGGGGTGATTAGAAGATATGTGCCGGAGGAGGAACAAAGTTAGATTCTTGGGGCTTGGGCCTACTCTCTACAAAGATGCAAATGAGTTGGTGAGAAGATGTGATGAATGTCAACGATACGACAGAATTTCAAAGAAACATGGGATGCCTCTTATAACCATCTTGGAGATTGATATCTTTGATGTTTGGGGATTTACTCCATGGGCCTTTTTGTGAGTTCTTGTGGAATGTCACGACCCAAAATCCCTCTTTAGGAGTCATGATGGCACCTAGTCTCTAAGGCTAGGTAATCCTAACACTTACTGAATTAATAACAGATTTTAACCAATCAACTATTAAACATGAACCAGAAATTTCTATATAAAGCCAGCAATCCCAAGCAGATATACAATATCCCAAAAACCGGTAGTACAAGTCATAAGCTCTACTGAGTTCACTAGAAAATTCTAAGTTTAACTGTTCTGGAATAGAAATAGACAGTAAAAAGTAAACTTCAGAAGGTGACTCTGAGGCCTGCAAACGCGGCGACAGGCATACCTTGAAGTCTCCGCCGCAACTCACAATTAGCTAACTAATGACCAACATGCTCCGAGGTACCTGGATCTGCACAAAAATGTGTAGCAAGCGTAGCATGAGTACACCACAACGGTATCTACTAAGTATCAAGACTAGCCTCGGTGGATGAGTGACAAGGAACGGTCAAGACACCTACTAGACATAATAACCTGTACAGGTATGAATATAAAACTAACAGGGAACAATATAAAGCTAAACATGATAAAAATAATGCCACAATACTTGAAATAAGAACTAGAAACAACAATTAACAATAAGGACCAAACATATAATAACATCGTAAAGTAAGAAAAATAAGTTAAAGTCTGGTGAAAACAAGTAAGCGAAAACAAGTAACAACCCAATAAAACAACCACTTTCACACAAGGTTTATACAAGAATTTCCTCGAGGTATCACACCTCATAATCACAAATCACCGGTCCCAAAGCACTAACCCTAATCACTTGGAAAATTTTGCCCACATTACAAATCACAACCGCACGGACAATTCACGTGATGCACGGACAACTCACATGTTGAATGGACAACCCACGTGCCAATACCAATAATATCTCATATCTGCACGGACAACTCACGTGCTAAGAGAGTCAAAACATCTCATACATAAGACAGGTATACAAGAATACATGTAAATGATCAATAAACATCAAGGTTCATCTTCTAGGACTGATATAAGTGATTAATTACGGTGTATACTTGTGCAAGTGTTCTATCACAACTCGAGTCAACATGTAAGATCAGGGACAACGGATGGCACATAGGAAACAACACGGCGAAACCGTATTATGCATGACTCACACAAGTTAGGCACATCTCAAATATCATCAATAACAAAGGCCCCAGGCCATCACAAATCATCCCCAACATAGCCCCACTTGTCTCTCTGCGTGCGCAATAATAAAGTAAATGCCCGCCTAGTCTCGCCACGCGCGCAAAATAATATTTCCACCTTGTCTCGCCACATGTGCAAATCTACGTATATAGCCCGCCTTGTTACGCCGCATGTGCAAATATCAATAATAACAATAACATGGATAACTCACGTACGAACACCCGGACAATCCTTTCAGCAATACCACATGTGCCAAAAACATAACAACACAATATAACAACTCGTACCACATGTGCTCATATTCCACAACATTGCCTTAAAAACAATTACAATACAACAACCACATATAGACCTCGGCTCAACAACACTGAGTAGAACAACAACAATAATAACACGGGAGCACGACAAGTAAATCAACACAAGAATTACAAAAAACATAATGAAACGGAAGAATGAGCTCACAACGAAAGATATAACAAGTAATAATGGCTTCAAATATGAATAACTCAACAATAAGAGAGATAATGTGTAACAACAATATCAAATAAGAATAACTCAATAATAGGAGAGATAACATGTAACAATGATTTCAAATAAGAATAACTCAACAATAAGAGAGATAATGTGTAACAACAATATCAAATAAGAATAACTCAATAATAGGAGAGATAACATGTAACAATGATTTCAAATAAGAATAACTCAACAATAAGAGAGATAATGTGTAACAACAATATCAAATAAGAATAACTCAATAATAGGAGAGATAACATGTAACAATGATTTCAAATAAGAATAACTCAACAATAAGAGAGATAACATGTAACAACAATTTCAAATAAGGATAAATCACAATGGAAGAGATAACATGTAACAATAACTTCAAATACGGATAAATCAACAATGGAAGAGATAACATGTAACAATGACTTCAAATAAGGATAAGTCAACAATGGAAAGGATAACATGGCAATAAAAGAGGCAACAACTTCAATTAAAGCATATAAGAATATATTTGGCAATAAAGGATAGAACATGAACCAATCAACTTCAAATAAGGCATGTAAGGGTTAATTTAGCAATGGAGGATATAACCTGGTCACGCGACTTCATTTTAATATGCATAAGAAACCTAAGAGTCTAAAATGGTCAAATTTCCACATATAAGCCGTGTACACACTCGTCACCTTGGGTACACATCTTTCACGTAGTTCAAATAGTGCAAACAAACCAATCCCTACGGGGTAGTTCCCCCACACAAAGTTAGGCAAGATACTTACCTCAAAATCCCTCAATCAATGCTCTAAAATAACTTTCCCTTTATAATTCACCTCCGCTTGGCTCAAATCTAAACCAAAATTGACTCAATAACATCAAATACTGCAAGAGAAATCAATTCCAATAATTAACGCTATGATCTTTATGTAATTTCTCAAAAGTCAATAAAGGTCAACCGCATGCTTGCCCGGTCCAAACCTGGGTCCAAGGGTGGATTCCGACTACCCATAACCCCACGAGTCCATATATGTGTTTTGTTTCAAAATCGAGTCGAAATCGACTCTCAAAACTCAAATTCTCATTTTTCAAAACATGGACAAAGTTTCTCAAATTTTCACTTTGATTCTCATAATTCTATTATTAAATATCATTTATAATCATGTAAAATAGTTGGAAATTGTTCAATATCACTTACCCAATGATTGTAGATGAAAACCCCTCTTCACAATTGCCTCTTATCGGGTCTAGGGTTCTAAAATATGAAAATGAGACTAAAATTCCGTACCTAAGCTTTTAACCGTTATTGTAGGTGTCGCAATTGCGACCTAGATCACAAAAGCGAAGCCCCTCACACCCCTTTTGTCACCGCAAAGGCGATGAGTAGTTTGCAATTGTGAACAGTGGACCATCGCAAAAGCGATCAAGATGATCGCAAATGTGATCACCGCTAAGCCCAAATCCCCTTCGCAAATGCGAACACAGGATTCACAAATGTGAACCTCGCGGACTCAAGCCATTCTCGCAAATGCAAACCCATACCTAGAAAATTGTGAGTGTCTCAAATGCGAACAAATTCTCGCATTTGCGAGACCTGCAGCACCTGATCAAAACCAGCAAACTAAAACTCTTTACAAACACTCTAATACGCATCTGAAACTTACCCAAGCCTTCGAGGCTCCAAACCAAACATCAACACAAGTCTAAAAACATAACATCAAATCGTTCGCGCGATCAAATCATCAAAATAACATCCGAAACCATGACTCAGACCTCCAAAACACATGAAATCAACATGAAACTCAAGGACTTCTAAATACACAAACACGCGTCTGATTCCTATCAAATCAACTCGGAATGACGCCAAACATCGCAGATAAGTTCCAAATAACAGAACGGACCTATTCCAAGTCTTGAAGTAGAAATCCAAATAAGATATCTATGAAGTCAACCTGCGGTCAAACTTATCAAAATTCTATGCCTTCAAATTGCCAACTTTCGGCAAAACAACATAAATCAAACTACTGACCTACGAATTCGATTCCGGGCACACGCCGAAGTCCAAAATCACGATACAAACCTATCAGAGCCATCAAAACACCTTTCCAGGGTC